GGGGGTTCAGAGAGATAAACAAACAGATTGTAGAAAGTGGGTCCAAGCAACTAGAAGAGCCAGGACCAATCAGATTATAGAGAAGGTGGATCCAAGACATGATTGGTCTTGCCACTTCTAGTAGCTTGGTCCCACCTTCCACAATCTCTCCAAACCAATCATTTTTCGTTCTGCCCTCAGAACATTTTTGTGTAAGTAAAACTCCCATGAGCCCTGCCATCAGATCCACCAGTGTTACCAGTGGGGGGTAGCGGCGGCATGCTGACTCCCGGTAACTCGGGGGTGAGGAGTGCATCACCGGTAGATCACAGAATTCAAGCCAGAACTTCCAGTCAGGTGTGGAGTGTTTTCTGAATACCAGAGTGACTTCAAGACCATTTACTCTGCTGAGTTATATGTACATACACATTGCACTGTGTATAATTCATGGGTGTCAAACTCCAGTCCTGGGGGGCCGGAGCCCTGCACATTTTTGGGTTTCCCCTCATTTAACACACCTGATTCAACTCCTTGTGCTAATTACCACACAGTTCTTGAGCTGAATCATTTGTGGTGGAACAGGGACAGAGCTAAGCTACACAGGGCTCTGCCCCCCCCCAGGACTGGAGTTCAACATCCCTGGCGTATATAAACCCTTGTTTATTGCATTTTATTGTGAAACCCTCCTCCCTCATTATTGTTGTATGTCACCCCACTGTGAATCTGCATGTAGATGGAACGACAAAGCCCACTTGACTTAAGAGGCATCTTACATGGTTCATTATCTACAAACACACAGGGACTGTCTGCTGTCTCGTTATAAAAACGTGGCGCTTCCCCTGGGTGTAAACATCCCCCATCAGAACGCTCTTATTCTTCAACGGAGTGACAGGCTTCTGTCCTCCACACCCTGAAATCAGCAGGACAGAAGCAGCCTCCAGGGACCCCACACTTCCGTAGCGTAGCGGTTCATCACACCCACCTCACGCACTGAAAGTCCCCGCCCGGGCACCCGCCGGACACCCGCCCGGACACCCGCCGCACACATTACAGAGTCTCATTTCACTGCAAACACCTACCGCTGTATTTTTGAAAGGGAAGATGCATTTAAATGCCTTTGCAAACCCCAGGAGCCGAACAGAGTCCTTGGCTTGTGGCAGGTGGCAGACCAGGGCGTTCGGTTCACACAAAACAGCCAAAAACAGGGGTGGCCAATATTATCCAGAACGGGCTGCTGTGTGTGGTGGGCTTTCACTGCAATTCCAGGAATCAATTACTAATTAGAGGACTGATTGCCTGAAGAGTCCTCACACCTGGGTTTGAACAGCTGGTCTAAAGGTTACCCCAAAAACCTGCACTGGACCTTTGCAGATCAGATCGGCCACTGCTTGCAGACACTATTGCGAAAGGCATTCCCTGTGCTTTGCATATGACTTTTTCAGGGGGACTACTGGATTTCAACTTTGAAACTGCACCAGGTGTCAAATGTTATTTTACTAATTTGACTTTCATCCCCATGTAAGAACTCACACATAAATGCGAGGGCATGCACGCACACACGCATGCAAATTCTGAGCTGTAACCTTGCGTCCCGGCTTCCGGCTGTAGGTGTCTGGTTCATGGCATTGGTCCCGCAGGCTCAGTGCAGGGGCGAGGAATGAGGTGGCTTACCCGCTTGCCATTTGGCAGACATCGATGAACGCAAGTAAATGAAACTGAAAAATCAGCACTTACTGGGCGGCTGTACAAAAAGTCAGCGCAAAGACAACCAATGGCATCCCAAGAACTGATATCAAAGTTGTTTGTGTGTAATAGTACTACATGTGTATGAAGTATACAAATTAGGGAAAATACTTTCCAGGGTTGCCAGACATTCTGCACAGGAGGGTGGCAGGTACAACCTGAGCACCCTCCCTTTTTCAGAATGAGCAGTCAAAAACACAGGCAACCCACCTCGCTCTCCTGTCGGGTAAACAGACCAGTCTGAAACATTTGCTGGAAACGCTTCCTCAAGAATCACTGTTTCATCACCCAGACCTTTGGACTGGACCTTTTGTCAACGAGGAGCGGCGATACAGAAAGATGAAACTTCCATAGTATGAGGGAATCTCAGGACTTGATTATATAGCAAAGGGGAAAGGATACCCCAACTTAAACTAAATAGTATAATATTTTAACACTATTGCCACTCACATCAGTATAAAAACAGGAATATTTACAGTAGGTGTCAAGACCACAAAGTTAAAAGTAAACGTCTAAATATTCTGAAAGTCACCAGTAAACTGAAAGCTCTGTGTAATATAGGAAGGACATTGCATTTACCCTTCAATCACTGAGGGAGGGGTCAGTATCTGGCAGAGGGCCATCATTTCTTTCTCCAACTTTACACACCGTTTGATTTAAACCACTCTTTAAATAGGGGTTGGTCAGTCCCAGGAGTCGAAACATTACTGACAGACAGGCATTATGAAAACGGTCAGAACTTAACTAAGCAGTCGGGCGATGCTATCAGAAACCGATATAAACAACTTTGTTTTTTACGATTCCAACGCGGCGTGACAATTTTTATGTTCAAAAAATAAACACGATACAGTTCCATCTTTTTATTGAATATTAAGGTAAATATTTCACATTAATACAGGCTACAAAGTAGAGCCACTATACGACATGAAATTTACTCTCATTTTAACCCTTTTTAGTATGTAAACAATTATACATGTATTTACCACTCTAAAAGGTCTGATTTATCGTTCGGTAATCATCTAGTTCTTGGTCAAGAGCGGCTTACAGGCCCGGTTAAGCCCTGCAGATCAAGAACAGGTGGTTTTTAAAGTCAAAATGGCTATACTACGCAGAGAATGTATCCTGTTGAACAGGCAACTGATCTGTCCATAAACAGTGGTAAACAAGTTAAAGCCCACACTGAATTCTTTTTCTCTTTTTTTTCGTTAGGCACGTCAAATAGTGTGTCCGCCATCCAATTTCTTATTTGTAGGACACCGTTAGGTTAACATCTTTTAACGGTACTTTTATTGTTCTCTAGAAATAGTTTTGTTTACTGGTCCTATGTCTTGATCGCCTCGTTGCCTAGTTGACGTGGTTGAGATGCACGTTGCCGACGTGTGGGGCCCAAGTACCAGGCCAGACCTGAAACGACAGCGAGGTTTCTCTGTGAGTGACAGGGGCAGATCGGTGCCAGTCGAGCCGGGCAGGTGGGAGACCGCGGTGCAGGTTTTACCTGTTGGGGGTCGGAGTTCTCTGCGGAGTTGGGCATGACCTTAAGGATGGGGTTCCAGGCAGGATCTGCAGTGTGCAGCCCGTTGTACATGGGGCCCCCCGGCCCTTCAGTCATGGGAGGGTGGGGGGGGATCATCGTCCCACCAAACATTGACATCGGCAGCCCCTGGGAAACAGAGAGCCGATGGGCCATCATTAACTCAAAAAGAGACCTTAGAGACGTGTTTCTCAACCCAGTCTGCAGGGACCCCCCTCAAACCAAGAAAAAAAAACCTCACAAACCAACCAATCAACACCACAGAATATCTGGGCTAAACGAAACAACTGGGGCAATATGTGTTTTGTCCTACAAACTCTGACTGGGCAGCGGACGAGAAGAAGCCCCACCTTGGGGAAGTCCATGAAGCTGCTGGGCATGGGCTGGTGGAAGGTGTTAGAAGGGGCCACGATGCCCGTGTCGTCACGCTCCATGGGCTGGTGCTGCGAGAAGGCCGACTGTTCCGGGAGCTGCTGGTGCAGCACGTGGCTGCTGACGAGCGGCTGCGACCAGCCCGACATGGCTTCTGCGGGGGAGAGGGGGGGGTGTCAGCGTTCACACGGCAGAGGCAGTGCCACCACTCGCCTAGCGGGGGACACTACGACTGTTGTCAGGATCACTGAAAGTCACAGTCAACCTGGAAGACGTCAGCAGGTAAAAACCAGAACGGAAGACGTAAAAGATGCATCACAACGAATCTATTAGGAGAAATAAGTCTAACGTGCCTGATGATAGGCTAAGGGTTTCTAAAACGGGCTCATTTGGGCTAAACCCAACCAATCAAAAATCATTCTCAGCTCATTCAATTCACTCATCCTTGTTGACCATCTGTGATTTTAGTAAATAATTTATGAATTAGCAGTGGAATTACATCATTAATTCTCTAACCACACCCCAGCATCCATGGGTCCCCACCCCCCCACGACAAGGCATTGGCGTCCCAGCACCCACCCTTCCGGCCCACACACACACCGGAGGCGCTGCCAACTCCAAAGGACCAGATGCCCCCCTGTCCGACGGGGGCCGTGTAGCTGGTGGTGAGCATGGCCGGGTTGACGGAGCCCGTCTGCCGGATACGGGCCAGCCGCTCTGTGCCGATGGGTTGGGGCACCTTGCGGTCTTGCTGGCTCGAGCTGCCAGCCTTAGCCTGGATTAAAGCCGGGGTCACCGTGGACGCGGAGAGTGGGGAGGAGCCCCCTGAGGATGCTGAGGGCACCGGAGACTCGCCTGCAGGGGCGAGGACAGACAGAGGGCCGGCGGTTAAGGGGGCGGTGCCGGGCGGAAAAGCGGCGCCACACCCCGGCTGGGGGCCCCTTTCAGTCCACCGCCCCGTACAGGAAGTGGAAGCGCTCCAGGGGTGGGGAGAGAAGTGCTGCCGACCCTGCAGGAACACCGGGCTGCCGGAGATGCTGGTGGCGAAGCTGGTCAGCGCAGCTGAGGAGGAGATGGAGCTGGCCGAAGGGTCCATGGGGTGCATTCCTGGGGAGGGGGGGGAGTGAATTTGGTTAAACAAACAAGCTGTTTTGATCCTGTTGCATTCAGAAGTTTAGCGGAATTATTCAGATAGGGGTTATGGATCTTCCTTACCGATGGGGCTGGGAACGATTCTCTGGGTGGGGCAGCGGTACCCCGGCGCCTTGGAGCTGTCAGGAGGGGGCAGCACGCTCTCCATCTGGCCCATGCCCCCCATGTAGGCGGGAGGGCCGCTGTAGGCCTGCTCGGGCGCGGAGCGTGTCGGCAGGTGGCACGCCCCCCACATCTGGCTGTTGCCCACCTGTCCGCCGTCGAAGATGCTGCTGAAGTGGTTGAAGAGGGCGGCGGGCCCAAAGCTGGGCGGCAGCTGGGCCTTGGCGCCGTGGATGTGCATCTGCGAGCCGTTGAGCACGCCGAGGGCGGAGGGCATCTGCAGCGAGGGTGGTGGCATGGCTGGCGCCGCCAGCCCGTGCTGCTGCTGTTGGGGGGGCGGCTGCTGCTGCTGCTTCAGGCCCTCCTGCGAGGTGCCGGGGGCCACGAACACTGACGGCTGCTCTGGCAGAGCGCCCCCAGGGGCCAGTGGGTAAAAGGGAGCCGGGGGCTGCATGCGGGGCGACACCTGGGGCGCCGGAGCAGCGAAGTGAGCTACGGTGCTACTGGTTTGGGCCACCGTGGGGGTGGGCCGCGAGCTGGGCATGCCAGCGCCCACAGGGACGGTGGCCAGAGTGGGCTCGGCGCCAGTGACAAAAGGCAGAGGGGGTGGAGCCGGCTGTCGGACTTCCTGCTGCGGTGGCGCCGTGGATAGGGGGGCAGGCGGAGGGTAGGCCAGTGAGCCAGCAGGAACATTTCCTTCAGAGGCTCCGCCCATGGTGGGCTTGGCTGGCTGCTCCAGTGGCAGCTTCTCTTTTCCGGGCGTCGAGGACGCGCAAGGCTCCGGTTTGGGCTGCGGGAGCTGCTGCGTAGGTGGGGCTATGGGGGGAGGGGGTGGAGGCGGTGTCAGGGACGCAGGGGGAGCGGAGAGCAGGGGGGAGGGCGAGCTTGAAGCCCGAGCGGCCCCCACGCTGCTGACCGTACTGGTAACAATGGTGGAGCTGCTCGTCTTGGGCTCGGAGAATAGCTGCTTCCTGGCCGTGGATGGAGTGGGGGCGTTGGGGAGGCAGGCTGGTGGGGGAGCTGCGGTGGAAGGCGAGGCAGAGGCGGGGCCGGGATTGGAGGCGGCCGTGGCGTACTCGGGCTGGGCGGCACCCGGTCTGGGGGCAGAGCCCGCACCATTGTGTTTCGGGGAGCCGTTGTTGCTGCCGGGGCTAACGGGTCGCACGGGGAAGGGGCCCCAGGTGTTAGGCGATGGGGAGAAGGTTCCCCCGAACTGGGCCACGGGCAGCCGCGGGTGCCGGATCTGGTGCATGGTCTGCGCAGCCAGCAGAGCCAACTGAGGGTGGGCGTAGGCCAGTGGGAGTGAGACGAAGGGGGGGCGCACCCCCGGGGCCAGGCTCTTCCCCAGCTTTCCCCCCTGCTGTGAGGCGGACGGAGACGACGGCTGGAAGGCAACGCCGGAGGATGGCATGACAGACGGCAGCCCCTTGGCGCCGGACGCTGTGGTGCTGGTGGCCCCCGTGGAGGTGGTGAAGGTGGAGCTGATCTTGGTGTTGCTGCCAGGGGTGCGGATGTGATTACGGGGGATGAGGTCCTCCAGCTCCTTGGCGGGGTCCTGGATCAGGGCGTTGATGAGCTGCACGGCGTGCCGCGTGGACTCCGTTCCGCCCCTGATGGTGATCATCCTCTCGCCGTTCTTGTCCTTCTGCTTATCCACATCGATGTGGGCCCCCGTCACGTCCTGGATGGCCGTGATGTTACAGCCGCCCCTGCCCATGATCCGCGACACCACCGACGCCGGCACAGAGAGCTTCTTGGACCTGGGAGGAAAAGGGTAGGGAGAGAGTGGACAGGAGAGCATTTAATGGTGACCGCAACCAAGGGATGCTAGATAAATACAGCATCTTCTAGTGACCCTGCAATAAAGGAGCACTCATAATAATAATAACAACTGATACTTTATTGTCCCCGTGGGCAAATTGTTTTTACGCCTCCCTCAACTTGCTCTTTGTAGAGTAAGCTGTCCGCGAAGGGCAGCCACCTGTAGCGGCACCCAGGGAGCTGGGGGTTAAGGGTCTTGCTCAAGGACCCACAGCCGTGCTGAGGTTGGGTTTGAACCAGCGACCTTCTGATTACAGGCACATGGCTTAGCCCACTGAGCCACACGCTGTCCCCTAAGAGGTCCACCTGATATAATCTACATGTCACAGTGCATCGCAGATCCTGAGTCACTCATATTTACAATAAATAAGACAATCCTTAAATAAGAGTCTAATAAAGTCTATATAATTTTTCTGACAGAAGCTCACCTCCGGACCACCTCCTTCCAGCCCTCCTCTCTCTTCTGGCTCCTTTTGGGGCTGGTGAGGTTGATCTTGCTGTTGGGCGAGGACACTGGCAGTGAAATGGTCTTGAAGGAGGATGGGGCAGAGCTGGGGTTCGAGTCACTGATGCAGTCTGGCGTTCTGGAGAGGCAGACATAGCTTGTAGACCGGTGCTCGCTTATACACCGACATGACAACACAAGCCCCCCCCCCACTTCGCCATACTCGGGTTATAATGACGCAGTGTTAGATGAGCCCTTCCTGGCTGTGTGGAATATGGATGGCATTTGGAACCGGAACTCACTTCTGCAGCGGTTTGGAGATGGACAAGGTGACCTTGTCGTCGCGCAGGCTGTGCAGGGGGGGGAACTGCCTCTTTTCGGGGAGCGGTGTGGGCTGCCCATGGCTGGGGGGGGCTGCGGAGGAGGGCGGTGGGTCAGGCGGGTGGCCCAGCTCCTGGCTCTTGCCGCCGCCCCCACCTCCGCTGCTCTCACTGTTGCAGTCGGTGCTGTCCAGGTTATCCGAGTCGCTGTTTCCGCTGGGCACTCCGCCGCCCCTGGGTTCCCCATGGATCTTGTTCCTGTCGGCCTTCTGCTGTGCCAGCGCCACCTGGGGGTCCTGCAGGATGATGGGCTCGCTGGGTGCATCCTTGGTCCTGTTCTTCTTGCTCTTGCGGCTGGCGCTGGGCGTGCTGACCGCGTTGGGCCGCTTCTTAGCGAAGGCTGAGCTGAAGGTGGTGGAGGTCGCGGGAATGCCGATGGTGGTGGTGGTGGTGGCACTGGGCGGCTCGATGGGGACGTCGGCCTCTACGGGGACACGGATCAGGGGGCGCAGGGTTAACTCAGAGCCATAGTTCACGCACCAGACTGAGGCTGACCGTCCAGAAGACCTCAGCACTCACCTTCAGCGGAATCCTTCTCGTGGTCCTGCAGTTCCGAAAACACCTCCTTGATCTTGGCCTCCTCCTCCTCCAGCTTTCGCTTCTGCTCCTCCTTCTTCTTCTTCCGCTTCTCCTTACGCTTCTCCCGCTTGGCTGCCAGAGCCTGCTTCTTGCTCTCCTCACGGGACTGTCGAGACATGCAGAAGGTCAGCGAGGGGAGAGGCGGGGGGACAGGGAATCAGGAGGCCGGGACTAAAGAACAGACGCTTGCTCACCTTCTCCAGGTCCAGCTCCTTGAGCAGGATGCTAGCGTTCTTGTTGGCCTCGGCCGCCTGCTGGTCCTTGGCTTTGACGATGGTCTCCATGCACTGGTGACACTTCTTCAGAAGCTCCTGCAGTCAGGAATGACAATCCCACCATGTCATGACCACTGACCAGATTATACTTATACATTTTCAGCGATGCTACAATTCAGGACTAATATGACTCCCATCGTTATTTCGTGTCAAATTTCAGTTCCCACGCACCACAAGCCAAACACATGCCTCAGCAAACCGCATTAATATGAGGGCGCCCCTGCAGGCAGCCGCCTGGAAGCTCACCCCTTCACCAGACACCCGGCCCCTATGGTTTGCTTACAGACTCCTACCTTATCTGCAATGGTGGCAATGTATCTCATGCACTCAATGTCAGAGGGAAACTGGTTGACCTCCTTCACCAGGTACTGCACGACCTTCACGTGACCCTGAGACAGAGACAGAGCGGCAGAAGCCTGGGTGAGTGACATCAGTGGCTCAGGGAAGCATTTTGTAAGAAAGGGGAGCCCCCTCCTGGCAGATTTAGGTATCACACCTTGCGGAAAGCCGCCATGAGCGGGGTGATCTTGCGGTTATCTGCGGCGTCAACATCAGCGCCGGCCTGCACCAGGAGCTGCACCACGTCAAAATGGCCGCCATTGGCTGCCAGCCACAGAGGGGTGTTGCCCTTCTTGTTGCGTACGTCTATGTGAGCCACCCTGTCGGTGTGGGGAGGGGAGACACAGAAGGGGGAAAATAAGTCACCTTCCAAAAGGTAGACGGGGATGGACGGAATGCGGGAATGTCTGGTGCCCACCTGTTGATGAGCAGCTCACAGAACTTGTAGTGGCCCTTGTCCGCGGCAATGGTGAGTGCGGTGTCCCGTGATGAAGGCACGGGGGGGGCATTCACGTCGGCGCCCTTGTCCAGCAGCACGCGGCCCACTTCGGCGTAGCCCCCCGACGCCGCCTCCATGAGGGGGGTCAGTCCAGTCTATGTGGGGGCACACGAAGGCCTCGTCAATTGACACGGTCGTTCGTGGATAGGTCGGGCATGCCCCACCCTCCCGACGCCGACCCGGTGCGGCTCACCTTGGCACGGTGCTCCACGTTGGCCTTACGGTCCAGCAGCAGGCTGACCACCTCGGCGCGGCCCTGGAAGCAGGCGAGGGTCAGCGCAGTGTTACGGTTGGTCTCGATCTGCGCGTTGATATCCGAGCCCATGTCCAACAGCAGCTTGACCGCGGGGACGTGGCCGTTCATGGCCGCCAGCATCAGCGGCGAGATCCCCAGCTTGCTGCCGGTCCTGGGGAGGATGGAGATGAGCTGTGAAGTTGGCGGGTGGGGGACGAGAAGGAAAGGAACCGAGGATGCTGGTCCGAAAAGACCCCAGAGCTCACCTGGAATTGATCTCGGCGCCGGCATTGAGGAGGATCTTGATGATGTTGACGTAGCCTCCTGATGCAGCCAAGCTGAGCGGCGTGTAGTCGGACACGTTGCGGTGCTCCTTGTTGGCCCCGCGGAGCAGCAGCAACTCCACCACCTAGCACAAGGGCGACACAGCCGATCACATGCATGACCGACACCTGAGGAACTCACCGCTCAACTGGCACAAATCATTTCCTTTGTTAGTGCTATACTCCCCACCACTCCTCCCCGAGTGGAAGGAGTCAAAGAGCACTGACGCACCTCCTGCCGGCCCCCAGAGCAGGCCAGTGAGAGAGGCGTGTCTTTGGTTCTCTCAGACTGGGCCTCGATGTCACCACCTTTGTCCAGGAGGATCTCCACGACGCCCACGTGTCCGGCTGTGGCTGCCAGGATGAGGGGTGTGAAACCTGGAGAGGGTGAAGAGAGGACGTTGATCTCAGCACATACACGCGCCCGCATAAAACGGGCCCCTCCCCATACTCCCCCTCGTCAAGCGGGATGTGTACCCTTCTTGTCCCGGTGCTCGATGTTGGCCCCACGTGCAATCAGCACTGACACCAGCTCCTCATGGCCGCCGGCACAGGCCAGGGTCAGCGCTGTATCGTGGTTGCTCTCCGTCTGTGGGGAGGGGGCAGACACCTCATTATCACCATCATCATCCCAAGACAAGCCAGCAGGGAGGTGGTGGTTGGGCGAGGAGGCGGGCCTTACATGCGCGTCGATGTCCACTGAGGGGTACAGCGGCAACATGGAGGGGGGCGAGACGGCAGCGCCGGCAGCAGGCACTGAAGGCTGGGGGCTGGGCGAGGTTGCGGGGTTCAGCATGGGCACTCTGCTGCTCACGGCTGTCGGACACATGAGGGGAAGGAAAGGGTACAGAGTTTACCATGGTGACTGCCTGGTCACAGTCCGGGGAGACTAACACAAAACCCTCAAATACCGACTAGGCCATAGGCATAAAACTAGCAGTTTTAAACAGTTTGTCTCCCGTGAAATGTAACCAAGAGGCACGTGACTCTGTATCTGCTTTTCCTGAGGATGTGGAAGGTGGACATATTCTAGATGTACACTTTACTGTTTACACGCTCCTCCGCTACACCGAGAGGATTTACGCTTCCGCACACCGTCGTTTCAGCCTCTGCCCACGCGTCCATAAACCGAGACAGCGCTGGGGGAGGGGCGCTCCCGGTTAGGATTTACGGAGATGTCATACCTCATCCCCCTATTAATGCATTGCTTCCCATTAACGTCAAAGCCGGCGGCAGTGATTGGCGGCGAGAGGGAGGGACACCATTAAAACGCTGGCCAACGCACCCATCATGATGTCATCCAGCGTGTCGGTAAGCGTCTGTGCGGGCGTGGCCACCATGAGGCCGTCGGGAGCCTGGCTGAGTAGACCGGGCCCCAGTCCTGTGAGCTGCTGGCCCAGCATCTGCTGGCTCACCAGCACCCTCTGCAGGTCAGGGCTGGTACTGCCGGGGTAGTCAGCACCGCTGAAGTCCGTGGACTGCTGTGCGGGCAGAGGCTGGATGGGCATGAAACCGGCCTGTAGAGGGGGCGGGGGACACTGGGCTAGGGGAGTCTGTGGAGGCGGAGGTGGAGGATGGTGCAGGATGGTGTTGACCTGCGGCAGTTTGGCGAAATCCTCGCTCTCGTCCTCATCATCCTCCTCATCCCCCTCGTCGTCATCCTCGTCATCCTCATCGTCGTCATCCTCCTCCTCCTCCTCGTCCTCCTCCAGGACCGGCTGGTCGTCGTCTTCGTGGCTGCCTTCACCGTCTGTGTTGGAGCCCAGCGACGCCAAAGGCAGGGGTAGGGGGTTGCCCACCCCCGAGGCCCCCGACGGCTGGGTAGGAAGCGCCAGGTCCTCCTTCAGGCCCTTGGCCTCCATGTACTCTTTGGTGAACTGCTGCTGAGTCTTAAGCTGCAGCTGGCGCTCCACCTTCTGCAGCTCCTTGAGGATCTTCTTCTTCTTCTGCACCTGCTCCTCACGGCTCCTCTTCAGCTCCTCGATCTTGTCTTTGGTGAGCGGCTCGCCCTGGATGAGCTCCAGCGACTGCAGCTGGGCCTTCTCGATGGCGCTGATGCGCTGGCCCAGCTCGTTGAGCTTGCCCTCCGTCTCCTCCACGATGCACTCCAGCGGTTGGTAGGCGTGGAAGGGCGGCAGCGTGTCCGCGTCCGCCGCCACCGCCGTCACGGTGCCCGTCTGCAGGGGGCCCGACCTCTGCTTGGACGCGACTGGTGAACCAACCAGGGGGAAGAAAACAGAGACAAACTGAGCTTAATGACACTAATATCCTCTCTTAAAGGTCGCTTAGATCATCCCTCACCCACACAGACAGACATTACATATTTGGGTCAGGCTGGTAGCTTTACAGAAAGTCACAGAACCCCGTAGCAAGCAGAGACCATTCTTTCAATCTATCAATGGTCAATATAGACAGAAGAGCTTTGCAAAACAAACATAGGTAGGTGTTTTGATGAAATGCCCAGGACGTTGAGAGAGCGAGTGCAGGTGGGGGAAGATCGATTAGGCAGGTTGCAGGAGGAACCTAAATGGAAGTTTGCAGTTTGCTCCTCGGACCACATTTCTCGGCTGAGGCGGCTGACCTTTGCTTGTGACGGGTGGGGGGGTGCTGACGGTGGAGGGGACTCTGTCGGGCTCCTGTGGGGGGACCACCATGGCCAGGGCCTGGAATGGAACTCGGGGAACCTGGCGGGGGAAGGAGGAACAGCATCACCTCATGGCAACACATACATCTAACACCCCACCTAAAAGGGGTTACACAGGGGCGTGGCTAAAGGGGCAGTGACCCTAGATGAAAGTTGATTGGCTCCGTCCCCTGTCACTCACACACTCAAAACATATCATTAGCTAATAGGGTTATCCCCTCTGTATGAATTACTGCCCCTCTTATGCATGTCACCTGAAAGAAGAAAAAAAAAAAAAAAACTAAAATGGCCCCCCTGCCACACCCAAACTGTGCTGCAGGATGGAGCAAAAGCAGCCCCAGGAACCTACCTGAGATGCATCATGAGAGGGGGGAGTGAGCTGGGACAGGTCAGGCGCGGGGACGGACAGGATGTTGTTGGGGTAGTCGAGGAGGTAGGAGACCACACTGGTGTGGCCGCCCTTAGCAGCTTCGATGAGCATGGTGGAGCTGTCCTGCGGATAGAGCGGCACTCAGTCCCACTACAGGCGACTCTCCATCTTTATAACCACGCCCGATTAGAGAAGCCGAACAAGGAAGACCGGCGTGCGCACCTTCAGTCTGTGGGTGGGGTCGGCCCCGTGGGCCAGTAGTAGCTCTACCACGGCCAGGTGGCCCCCCGCGCAGGCCAGCGACACCACCGTGTGGTCATTGTTGGCGGTGGCACGGTTCACGTTGGCACCTGCCAGGGGATGGTGTGAGGGGGCATTGTCAAACCCAGGGACAGAGAGAGGCAGTGACACAGAGACCGACACAGAGACCGACACAGAGACCGACACAGAGACCGACACAGAGACCGACAGACTTCCTGTTCCCTTTATACACAGATCTCAGAATTCATATCAATGCCAAATATCACAGCACTAAGCTGACAGGGTCATATGGGATTTTCAGAGGCACAAACAAACTGTTGTTTACTGGGAGGTGCGGATGAGGACAAATGGCTTTTTACATTACAAATACTACATTATTTAAGTTACACTTCCATTCTTTGTATTAGATACAGAACTTAAGAGAATAATTTGTAACTCAAACGAGTATGACAGGTTTTTCCCCTTACATATCTACTCTAGTCAAACAGCAATTTTACTCCTCATTTCCCAGCAGCGGTAAGTAGGATGACCAGATAATCCATGTCAGAGAGGACACTTTTAGCTAGGACAGGATTTGTAAACTACCATTTCAATCAAAAGGACCTGGATTTCACAATTATTGTGGTGTCAGTCTCCTACAATGCATGTCACTGTTAATGTTGATGTGAAACAGCTGGATGAATCTTTCAGTCAAGGAAACAAACCAGTCAAAGCACAAGAAGAGCTGAACTATTTAGCCAAAGACAGGAGCTTTTGGGTTTAAGGTAGTTTGTAAAAGCTGAAGTAGCTCAAAGTGTCCAGGATGACATGGATTAACTGGTCACCCTATGTTAAGGTGGCGTGTGACAGCGTACCTTTACTGATGAGGAACTGGACGGTACACAAGTGTCCCGCCCTGGCTGCCTTCATCAGGGGGGTCCGGCCACCCTCCGATTCATGCTCCTGTGGGGGCACGCAGGTCCGACAGTGTTAACGGCTCAGAAACGGAAAAGACGCAGGAGGAAGAGAAGACAGAGGGAAGGCGCCGTCCTACCAGGTCAGCCCCGGTCTGCAGCAGCACATCCGCCACATCGGTGTGGCCGTTCTCGCACGCGTACGTCAGAGCCGTGTCTCCTGTAGCTGTGGTGGCATGCACGTTCGCCCCTGGTGGTAAAACAGTTAATTACTACAGGTGTGAATCACAGGTGAGACGGCCAGACAGTGGCCAGGAACCTCAGGCAGCTGCTAGCGCTTATTCCCCCGAGTACTGGGTTTATTTTCAGCCCAGCGGAAGGCGGTAGCCAGTTAAGCATCCTGCTCTGTAACTATCTCTGTTCTCCACACCCTGAAGGCCACAGGGAGACTCGCGGGATATTGTAGCTCCTCTCCCCACCGGCTCTGCCTACGCGCGACCGGAGCGTACATGCAGCAGCCAGGCAGAGCAGAGCTACCATAAACCCACGTGTAGCAGCAGATCGGAGCCCATTAATATCCCAGCACTGCGAATTTCCCAGGCAGAGACTCTGATGCACGCTGGGCCTGCAGGCACAGTGAGGAGAAACCGCAGGCCCCAGCGGCACAGCCCAGCTCCGGCTCACCTGCGGCCAGCAGGTACTTGACAAGCTCGAGGTGACCCTCCTGCGCGGCCTCCATCAGCGGCGTGGAGCAGCCCAGCTCGATGTCAGCGCCCGTCTTGATGAGGAAGTCGGCCACCTCCAGGAAGCCTCCGCAGCAGGCCAGCGTCAGCGCCGTCTCCTGGGTCTCCTCCGTCTGTGCGTTGATATTTGCCCCTGGGAGGGGGAGGTCAAAGGATGTTCACGCCGACTAAAGAACGACAAACTATTTACTGACTGCAATAAAGTGTCAGAATATATTAACACAAAGCAAATGCACAGACAAAGCACTTCACAAAGGTGACTGAAAGTTTACATCATGAAATAAGACACCAGCTCCAAGCCGGCGATACATTTCCCTCTATAGCTCCATTCCAGGCAACACCAAACGATCACAGATCTGTGCTCACCCTGGGCCAGCAGCAGCGCCACCATCTCTTCGTGGCCTTCGCGGGCCGCCTCCATCAGCGGTGTGTAGCCCTCGTCGTTGACCTCCTCCAGGTTGGCCCCGCGCTCGATGAGCAGAGCGGCCAGCTCCACGTGGCCCCCGCAGGCCGCCAGCGTCAGCGGAGACTCGAATGAGTCTGCCGGCATGTTCACCTGCGCCCCGCTGTCCAGGAGCAGGCGCGCCACCTCCACATGCCCATCCTGAGTGAGCAGAGGCATGCTGGGATTGGCCTGGGCCCCCACCGCGTGTGTGCGTGTGTGAATTTATCATTGAATGTAGCAGGATTCCCTCAGTCTTGGTGTGTGTGTGTGTGTGTGTGTGTGTGTGTGAGAGAGAAAATTTGGGGAGTTCCCCCTCCACATCCTCCCCAAAGCCTCACCATACAAGCCTCCATCAATGTCTTGTGCTCCTGGTCGGCACCAGCTTCCAGCAAGAAGCGCACCATCTCCAGGTGTCCTGCAGGGGGCGATGGAAAGCAAACGGCATTAGGGACATGGTGGCCCTCGCCCTCCCTCCCCCAGCCAATGGGAGAGCAGCAGTGGCACCTTTGTAGCAGGCCAGCGTGAGTGCGCTCTCCTTGAACTCGTTGGAGTGCGTGTTGATGCCAGCGCCGTACTCCAGCAGCACGCGGGCCACCTCCACGTGACCAGCGCTCGCTGCCTCCATCAGCGGTGTGTGCCCATTCTCGTTATGGTCCTCAATGTTGGCACCTTCCTTCAGGAGCACCTTCACCACATCAACGAAGCCACCGGCGCACGCATAAGTCAGCGCCGTGTTACCTGTAGTGAGGGGGCAGAGAGGAGGCGTTACCACGCTGGACAGGTGGGGTGGGTGGTCGCTCACCATTCATGCAGAGCTTGTGCAGGCTGCCCCACTCACCAGTAGATGACTGTGCATTGACATCAGCCCCGTGCACAAGCAGCAGCTTCACGATGTCCACATAGCCGCCGCTGGCAGCTGCCATCAGTGGAGTTATATCTCCCTTGATGCCACGGTCCTCCACATTGGCGTGCATGGCCAGCAGGACCTGTGGGCCAGAGACAAGCGTGCCGTCAGAGCCTAGCTGAGACGCGGCGTTCTGCAGAAGCAACGGCCCGGCCCCCCTCACCTGCGCCAGCTCATAGTAGCCCGCGGAGCAGGCCAGACACAGCAAGCTCTCGCCCTCCTCCGTGTGCTCATTGACGCTACGGCCCTCATCCAACAGCTTCCGCACGGCATTGACATCCCCGTCAGAGCAGGCCTCCGCCAAGCTACGGCTAAAAATAACCAGACTGCTACAATTACCAGCACTGCATGGGGCAGGGGGACATGAGATCAGCTAGCTGCTAGCCCCAGGTGCTAACAGGGGCTGCTTCAGTCATTGAGCCGCACGCTATGCCGTGTCTGACTGAGGAAGAGCATTGAGGTTATGGGGGCTGGGGTCACTTTACATTGCCCAATCTGGGGCTTAAGGCTTTCAAGATCACGGCAGCTTACAGTAACATCAGATCAGAGACAAAACAAAACTAACAGGTAAATGAGGTGTTTGTTCAGAGGCAGAAGAGATCCATACTTGTCAGCCTGGCCGGGGTGCAGCGTGTTCTCAGCCCTCATGCGCGTGAGGGCGGCGGCGGCCTCGTCCAGCGCACAGCTCACCGACGACGTCAGGCGGCGCAGCACTTCGGGATCTGCGAAGGCTTTACCGTCCGCGGTGGACAGTTTACCGATGCCTTCAGCATTAGAGCGCACGGGGTGGGGGAGGTTCAAATCCATATGGCGGTTCACACCAAGCAGCATCCATGGTTAGGGGGGGAAAAAAACACACACACACACAAACACACAAGCTTGGGTTATGTCCAAACCATGCCACACGTTAGCTCTACCCCCCTCTCCACCTCAAACAGGAAGTAGACCCAAGGCACATTGACCTAATGTGACCTAGAACAAAGTACTGCCCACCCCCATCCTATGCTTCCAATGGTACAGCCAAGCTACACATTATACTGCAAATAGTACCAGCTGACAAAACACCAGATACAGTCGAACCTCGGTACAACGTACCTTGTTTATAACATTTACACCAATACAACGTTCAAATTTCAATGTCCCGAATTCGCGTAATGAATTATTCCATTTGCCGGTATCGCTTAGAACGTACACCTTTACAGCGTAAACTTCGATATAACGTATGATTTTCAGAGGAAAATAGGCAAACTGACCTTCGTTACAACGTACAGCCTCATCTTCCGAGCGCGTGCACAATTCAGAATCGGCTGTTGCCGGCCATCTACATCGCTTAACTGTATTTACCTATTCTCACAAAGCATTCCACGCCGGCCGGACTCCTTGCATGCAGCCCCCGTTTTTTCATGGTTTTGCATGGTGTCATGGTATCGAAATTTATTTCAGCCAATTGAATCATACAGGTGCATAATTTCGGTTTGACATTAGGTTCCAGTAAGGCGATTTGAACGATAAGCCGGCAGTGGATTTTGCGTTGTCGGCCGTCTATGAGTAACTGATATTAACCTAGTTTGAAGAATATAGTTCCTATTCAGAATAGGAACTATATTCTTCAAACTACACAAGCTGTATGTCAGTGTCAACTTGAGGGGTGTTTTATAAAAGTTTTTTTTATATACATTTTGTGTTCTATCATTCATTTTGAGGGACTTGGTTACAACGTACTATGGTTATAACGTACAAATTCTTAATGTCCCCCGAGGTACGTTGTAACGAAGTTCGACTGTACCTCAGAACAAAATGAGCCTCAAATGAGCCTTTATTTTACAGGGTTCCCCCAATTCTGGCAGAATAAATTTTCCAAAACTTTTCCAGTACCATAAGAAAATTTTCCAAAACCCACAAGTTTGTAAAACTAAATTAGATAGAACAGGAGTCGTACAAGGTAGTTAGATTGACTTCCGCTCGTACATTTCCGTTAGCATGTCTAACAGACCGAAAAGACTATATGAATATATAAGTTCAAGAAGAAATCTCATTGCCAGAACTTCGAAAAAGCTATTATCAAGCAAGCACTGTTATACAACATACTTAACATAACTTAACACACTTCATACATACAACTGAAGCCATTCAGGGCAAATTGCTCAAGAATTCCGCTTCCCCTCCTAGACTGGATTACATTCGATTCCTCTTTCCTGGCCACTGGTGGGCAATTCAGGAGAAGGCAACTGCACAGTCCAGGAGCACGTTTAATATCAATCAGAGAATGTGTTTGTGAGCAGCTGAAAGGGCATATGTTGGTTCACTCACATGCACACAAATACAGCTTCATAAAGTGTAGGCACTAACTTTATGCCAATGCTGAGTCAGGACAATGGATGTTGCTGCCTTGTGTAAATCTACTGTTCTTGTGTGGGACACTTCATTTTATGCTGTAAACCGCCCCCAGACCTGTGACACTGGACTGGGCCTCCCCAGGGTAGGTTATGCAGTACGGCTGTAACAGTACACATATTCTGCCGCTATTTAATATTTTCAGTTTGAAACAAATAAAAAAAGGAATACACTTCTGGACATGGAAGCAACATACATGTACAAGTAGATGTTATGCTAATTGCGGCTGTGAGTCGGTCACGGTTAATGCTGGCTACAGTCGGTCACG